CGCGAGCCGTTGTCGGATATGGAGGTGTTCGATGATGCCAGTCGAGGAACCTGGGGAGCTCTCATGATGCTCATTAAGCTTAGAGGAGGGTAAGTAGGATATGATTGTCAATGGCTTCGACCCACGTAAACACATTCAGCTGACCTGAAGTCCCGTATAGTCTTCTTGGTTCTTTTGGCGCGTTCGTTGCCATCTTGACCCTAGCATTCAGCCCCTTTGCCCAACAAATTGCCACGTTCCACGCACGCACGACCAACACTACAAAAGGAGCCATCAACCTCCGAGCAGAGGAATACTTGATCGCTCTGAGCAGTCAGACTGCATCTGAAGGCTTCATTCCGATTCTTCCTTTCAAGGCGGCCGTGTACAATGGTCTCTTTGCTGAGAACGGTAAGCCCTGGCTGAGCCTCCCTGTCAACTGCCAAACAGGTAACTGTACTTGGGAGCCTTTCGAGACTCTCGGTGTCTGCAACACCTGCGTTGACATGTCTGAGTTCATGACGCGATCATGTGAGGACGGATCGATCCCTGAAGGCGACATGACAGAGTGCGGCTGGTCAGTCCCAGTAGGTGCTCGCCTTAAGACACATGCCGACGTGTTCAGCATGACACCAATCTTCCCTCAAGGTCTTGGAGATATGTCTTACTCGACCATCATGAAGCTTGTATTTATGGGCACTGAAAGACAAGGGGGTGTCGCTGGTGCCCTTGCACCCTGGGCTCGCCAGTGCACCCTTCAAGCCTGTGTACAAACTCTGGACTCCGAAATCGTCAACGGCGAGCTGAAAGAGACCATTATCCATACCAGCACCAACGATTCCTTCGCCACAGCAACTCAAGACACCCTTGAGCCCATTTACATCTCGGGCCAGAGTGGCAATGAGTCCTATCCGATTGACATGAAAGTCATAATGGGCGTACGTTCGTGGTTCTCGGACCTGTTCCGGAATGGGTCGGCCTCGCGTAATGAAGAGGTCATCAACAAGACTATTACGACTCCAGACAATGTTATAGTCAATCTCACCGTCGGTATTTCCAGCGGCGAGACATTCTTTGATACCGACATTGTCCAGGCCTTTTACTGGAACTACTACGAGTACCCAACAGGGATTGATATGCTCATGAACGATCTTGCAACCAGTGTCACCGTCAGTTTCAGGAGCTTTAATGGCACCGATGTCATTGGCATAGCGCACATTGTTGAGAGCTACGTCCATGTCGAGTGGAGTTTTCTAGCGGTTCCGCTCCTCACTGTCTTGTTGACTACTCTTTTCTTGATCGCGGCGATCTACCAGACGTACCGCCAAAAGGCTAGTCTATGGAAGAGCAGTGTACTTGCAACCTTGGTTCACGGTCTAGATGGAAATGCCAGGGAAAGACTCGAGGACCTTGGTGGCTTAAAAGAGCAGCAAAAAGAGGCTAAGTCTGTGAGAGTGCAGCTGGATGACGGTGACGGTGGACTATTGAGGTTATCCAAGTACGATGATATCTGAGTTCCCATCTGAGGTTAATTCTGGGCGATCAAGTTGTGACGGATCTTGGTACTCGGGGGATTTGTGATCGCCAAGTTTGGTGTATTCGCTTATACGCTCTTTGCGACTTTAATGATAACGATAATGGCTAGAGACGTCTTGGGTTCCATTTTGACTGGTGTTGAATAAAGATGAAATCGCTTATGTTGCTAAGCTCTGTTTTGTACAGATGAAAACTCTATGTAATCCTTTCCATGGCCATCCATTCCACTCATAGGCAAGTAGTAACTTTTGAATATTTAAACGTACTCGGCGCAGATGAGGTCACCTCCAATATCCATTACCTCTCTGATAGTTGCGTTGGGCATAATATCGACCATCCACAGGTTGTGGTTCAAAGTGGTTTCGTTGCCACCGTCGCCAAAATAGTCCGTCAGGGCCGCACTGGGATACTCCATGCCGTTCTGGGTAAGATAGCTGGTAAGAGGGATGTTGCGGCCTCCCATGTCCGTCAAGCGGGAGCTGTTGACCTGCTGCCACTCCCACCAGAGACGGTCGAGATTGGTGTGGTGCAGGAAGAAGAGCGGCTCGCCAGGGCTGCCAACGACATCGAGCATCTGAAGAGATCGTGTCAGCTTTGATCACACTTACATCGGCGGGGAAGGGGGTTACTAACGGTTCCACCGACTGCAGAGTGGCCCGCGGTGTGAGGGTTGACCTGGTAGCATTCGAAAGCCGCCGTGTAGTTCTCAGAAGCGAAGCACTCATCAATGTACTGCTGCTGTCCGGTCTGAAAGCCGTTTGAGTTGAATGAGCGGGTCAAGCAATCTTCAGCATAGTTGGAGGTGGAGTTGATGTGGAGAGTCAGGTTGACGAAGGGGCCGTCAGTGACACATCCACCGTCGCTGTCACCGCCGAAGCCGGTGTCGGGATCAAATACAACGGAGGTGTTGAGTGAGTCCATGTCCAAGACCTCGTTCCAGTACGGCTGGCCACCCTCGTAGCCACACTCGGACTGGAGGAGATACTCATGGACACGCATGAAGTAGCGGTGCCAAGGAAGGAAAGATCCCTAAAGATTAAGCATTAGCCAAGCTTTCTCCTGCTACACTGAACTCCATTGTGCATACAGTGTTGTGAATGATGTTGGATTGAGTGATGTGTGCCCAGTCAAGCTCATCCCAGCGGTTGATGGCGCCTTCGATGGAGGTCTTAGCTGCAGTAGACTGGAGGCAGAGCTCGGCATCGATGTAAGCCTTCTTCTCAGTATCGGTCATGTTGTTCCTGTTCTTGGCTTTAGCTTCAGATTCCTTGGTTGAGTTCTAGAAAATTATGAAGTTCTTACCATGCTTTTCTCTGAGACTTGCTCGTGCAAGTGGTGTTCCAGGAAGCGGCGGCTGCCAAGCCTGTGGTCGCGAGGAGCGAGACTAGCGAGCGAAGAGTGACAGTCATTATGGCTGTTGTTCAAAGAGTGAAGAAATCGAAAAGTAAAGACTGGAGTGCGATCCTCGGATTTAGGCTGAGATGCTGAGTGGTGATGAGAAAAAAATGTCCATCATCTCGGCAGCCACCTGGGTTTATAACCTTTTTCTTTCATTCATCAATATCACGAACTCTTTCCTCCATCTTCTCAAGCAGAGCCGCGATGTTAGACATGGGGATGTGAGTGTGCACTGCGCAATCGGCCAATGCGCCTCACTTGGCAGACCGCGTCACCCTTGCTTCGTTCGGACGAACCGTAAATTTTACCCACTTCCCGTCCTGTTTCTCCTATTTTGCGGAGTGACCACCACAACAGCCATGTGGGATGTGCCATTGATGCTTAAAGCTGCCCCTGACTAAGAACCAGAATAGAACTGAGCTCCCCACAGATATTCGTAACGGCCTCCCTTTCTTTTGAATGAGCGGTGCGCAACCCTTGACCGTGGCACCGTGCTGTGAACTCTGGCGAAGGCGATTACGTTGTCTCGGGTTGAGCGGCGCGGCGGCAGTCACATCGTGGGATTAATCCCACAGGGAAGCTCCTACGAGCTCACTCCTGGAGACGTAGACGCATACTTAGCTTGGGGGAAATTGTATCCAGTAGATACCCTGCCTATCATGCACGGCAGTTGAGAGGGCCTAGCTGCCCACTCGCCGCGTCATTCTGGCGCAGTAAACAAGCATAGGTGAGTTATCAGATCAATCTTCGTGGTGACATACATTTGGTCGCCTCCACAATTACCTAAGGCGAAAGACACGACAGCTAGAAGCGCTTCATCTTACCGCAGGGATGATCACTTTGGCATGCAGCTGAAACTCAAGGAGCGACTGAGAGAACATTGTACCAAACAATTGCAAATTCAAGACGACTTCTGGACCAATTGGTAGTTGAATGCCAATGGAGGGGGGATGCGAAGAAAGACAAGCTTCTTATTAGCATCGCCAGGTCTTGGCGCAAAGTTGGTTTACTGAACGCGGCCGGGTCGTCCCTTCTCCCCTGATCAGACAGACATTACTTGCAGTCGTGGGTGCGCTTTGACTAAATCAACCACGTTACATTTAGACGACACGTCCTTGTTAATATGAAGAGGCGCATCATCAGGCTGAGTAGGAACTTCAGTGGCTGGGTCGAGAACCGTTCAAGGGCCTGTCGAAACATGGACCTAGCGAGATCGGCCCAGACGCAAACCTGATATGCACATCCGCTAGCTTTTTCTTTCAATGTGTATGCTGCCGGCCTAAGATGAATACGTCGAGGTTGCTTAGTGGTATCCGGTTGCTGTATGCAATGACCCGTGATATGCGTTCTTCCAATTCATTGTGCACTGGCTGTCTAGAGACTGAGCATGTTTTCCTCAACTTAGGAAATGCCCCTGTCAGGCACTCCACCACCTAAACACAACTACAATCCGCAGACTTTAGCTATGTTGACTTTGCATACCTATTGCATTCTTTGCAAGGCTAAACAAGAAGAACCAAAGGAAATGCTGGACTGTGATAGTTTGACAATCTTTGAATTCGAAAACCACCCCTGTCCAAGGAATGCCGATCGGACTGCGCGTCAGGCCCACCGGCGTCCGGTGGGCGCATTGAGCCAAACGCTATTAGATAAGTATTCGTGGACTTTCTCGTCAAGTGGGAGGCATGCCAAGATGCCAAACTCTCTATTCCCACACATGTGGAATGCCCTATCGACGGGTTTTTCGGTTAACAAAAGTCATCTGTATCCTTGGCCCCTTGGCGAATGTCCGTCCTCACACTTTCAAGTCTGACAAGTTGCGGCCATCTTCGAGGCTGTGCTTAGATCGAGAGTTGTACTATCTCCCTGTCTCGGTTTCCGAAACTAACACCAGCCTCTGGCGAATCAATCCGACATTGGCTCGCCTTTCGCCCGACTATGAAGGTCAAACTTCGGCGACCGCGATTAGCGCGGCAAAAACACTCAAGAAAGTCTACAACGCCTAACGATTGACGACAACAGTCCAACGAGCCATTCTCTCATATAATCACCATTGTCACTCGAGTTGGTCTATCAACACAGTGGTCCTACTTGAGCTCTTGAATTCTGGGCAAAGAGATAAATCTCATAACGCCAGTGACAGGCGAGCAGTTCAGGTACTCGAACGTTGCCTCTCCCTTCTTTAGTACCGAGACCTCATGCCAGGTGCGAAACTTCCTTGACTCTCCCCACGTTTTCGCGTGTTTGATGGCTCCAATGTATATAGCCAGGTGAGAACGATGCGTTTTGGACCACTCTTCCAATGCACTCAGGTTCGTGAAGAACCCAGCACCGCAGGTCTCCTTCTTGGTATAGCCATCGGCGTCTCTGTTGCCCAAGAATCGCAAACCCATAGCACCGCCTTTCTCACGATTTTCCCACAGGTATCCCAAGCCCGCCCTCAAGGTCGGTTCCAGCTCCGTCTCGTATGACTGTGCCTCTTCAACGCAACAGTTTTCCCAAAATTGACCGGATCGGATGTGAACAATATTGTCGTAGTTTGTTCCAATTAAGTGCTGTCCTAGTCCGACCGGGGTATCTTCTGGCTTTGACGCCTTCGCATCTCCACCCTGTTCAAAAAGGTCATGAGCGGAGGCCGGAATTCGATCTCTTGCCGCTCCCCAATATGCTGACAGCTGATGCTCTTTTGTACCAGTCTTCGGTAGCCTGGCCAGACCAGGGAGATAGTCGAGTCCAGAGTAATTTGTTTCAAGGCGTGAGATAGGCGTCGTGAAGCTCTCCCTCCATAAACCAACGAGCATTCGGTGTTCTGGCGCGAGTTTGGCGTAAAGAGACGCGATGTCAAGTTTCTGCAGACTTGCTTCTCCTTTTTCAGCATCGTCCCAATAACAGACCCAAACAAATGTGTTCGGGGCGTCATCCCCATCTAAATGGTTGAAGCTCTCGGTTGAAAGCGGTCTATCTTCCGTGTTTGTACTGAGCCATGCCTCAACCGCCTGGACTGCCTGTTTGACGAATGTTGAACTATCAGAAGCGCCGTGATGAGATTGTATACCGATATATGCTGTAAATACTTTCTGTACGTCTTTGCAGAGGGTAAGTTGCCATCGTGGAACCGGCGGCCGATGACGCTCTGGTCGCCGGAGGGGATAAGTTCGCATGTCTGAGGACATTCCCGTTGTCGTGTGATGTCTTGACCGATGTAAAATATCTGAAACATTTGCTCAAGTGGCGGGAAGGTTCAATAAATGTCAAGAGCAGCTCCGTGATGGTGTGAGCATCCGGAATCCAGATTCCAGAACGCAGCTCGACCTCATGGCCGCAGTCCACTGTCAGCAGGCTATTACTAACACTCACTGTCATTGGTGGGAACTCGGAGCTTTTTCTGGCCCCGACGGTTTGGACAAGTCCGCGGGCTCAACAAAGGTGCTCGTGACGCCTGAAGGCGCCCTCTTACGTAAACGGGAAGACCTTCTAGTCATGAGTATCATGTTGGTGAGTACTAGTTAAATATCCAAACTTCCCCAGGCAGAAACAATGCAGTTGCAAGATGAGCGACAGGACTGTCCGTAGCAATCATATGTTTGGCACATTCCGAGGGTAATGTACTTTAGCAACCTAGAGTAACATATTCGTAGCAGGGCAAAGAAGGTGCTTAATATGTTCAAGACTTAAGGGGAATACCAAAGATATCAGACCCCCTTTACAGCAGTTTCTCGATAAATGGCGTCCATCTTGAGTTTAATCAGCATACTGATTGGATGTGGTGTTGATTCTCCAAGTATGGAACAGACGGAAAACGAAAGCAGCTGCAGTCCAATGAAAAGCAGAGGTCGGCTAAAAGCAAATCTATTACACAAAGATTATGTGTTGAAATCGCCGCGGCATGTACAGGTTACAAAGAACATCAAAGAAACTTCCAATCATTACTGCGTAGAGACTTCAGAAGCTTGTTTGTTCAATGCCTACCTACTTTAGGTTTTATACTTGAGTTGCTTGTGGCTCCGGACCACTGCAGTCCTCCTGCAACACTTCGACTCACATAATTATAAACAACAAGGTGTCACCAATCACCAACAATCGAAACTCCCGCTGAAGTATTTCTACCCGATTGCTTTTTAAAGCCATCACCCATAGCCAACCGTAGCAGCCATGTCAGCTACAAGCGCCAAAGGATCCATTCAAAAGCCTACTCGTTCCAGGCCCATCCTGAGGCTCGATATTGCTGCCGCTTTGGGGCTGGGGAAAGTAGGCAAGCCGATCTTGGTCAGGGAATATCAAAGTCCAACATTGACACTAGAATCGGCGAAAAGGGAAATATCCAAACACCCTCTACCCGAATACCTACCTGACATCGTGGAACAGCAAAATCATTCACGAGAAAGACTTCAACGATCCGGTGACGCGGAGACTCACGACTGTCTTCATTGGGCTTTACAACATACCTACGACAAGCAGCCACGAAACTCATGGGATAGTTGCAGCTGTGTAGGCGGCACTCACGAAATTGACTCGGATTATTTTGAGCCCATGACGGAAGACGAATTTGTTCAGAGACGTGTCAGACTCCACGAGACATACGAAGACCTAGAAGCCTCGACACAAAATCCAGTGAGCACTCAACTTCGTGCTGGAAGTGCAAATGATGAAGTCAGAGAGACTATAGATATGGACCTCTCTGCTTTTCCTCTTGTACAAAATCGCCTCCAAGAAGTGAATATCACAATCGAAAATCAGACTAACGACCAGTCAATTGAAGATGCAGTTGGGCCAGTGGAACTCTTGGAAGATTTACAAAATGATCTAGAAGTTGCCGCATCTGTTGTAATGCATGGCCAAGGGAATCAAACAGATGGTGGGACTAACAGTACAGTTGAAGAACCAGAGGTTGGTCGTCGCACTAGATTCCACGAACACTTGGACTCGCTCGATGCACCAGTATTCCGTTTGAGTTTGGCCGGCCTTACTCCTCCTCAGCAGTCGACTCCAATGCTGGAATCCAACTGTGTAATGGGGACAACTTCTTCTGGCAACGATTCCGAGCAAGCTTCCTCTACTTTGCGGCACAAGGGAATATTCATTCCGACTTGGCTATGGTGTGTCTTATGGATCACTCTCATCGGCTTTCTGATAGGTTTCTCCATCATGATGAGCTTGTTCGTTGCTTTGAGACATGAGGGCAAGCTTCATGCCGGAAAGATTTCTCGTTGCAGAACTCTCCAGCCATGCGTGTGCAATATTTCTCCTTCGCCATTCAATGGTGCGCATGGCATGGATGAAAGCATGCTGAACGATGACGGGCCTGAATGAAGTGCGACTAGAAACTTGAGCTTAGGAGCGTCACCATTCGTCGCATGTTTGAAATACAACCTGGAGTTTCCCTGAATAGCCTGAAGGTCTCAATATCACGCATAAACCTCGCAACTTCATCATACAAGTGATGTCGTTGGAGGAAACATTGAGCAGTAAATACAACTTCCTCAAAGACCTCCTGGCTCAATTTTCCCTTGGAACTGTATGCCTGCACTTGATCTTCCCGATACGGCTTGAGTATCTATAAAAACCGGTGGTTCGAGCCACATTGTGACTGGACCTTCCTTGACTTGCTTTCCTCCTACTCTATCTGGCTCTTTCTACTATCGTATATAAGGCTCGGAACCGTGAGCACTGTCGTGAAAGACGAATAGGTTAACTAACTAAAAGGGCACAATACGAAACAAGCAGAGTTCATCTTATCGGCCGAGAGCTTCCGCCCTATCAAACCCCAGGCTTTACAGAAAAGTTGCATAATTAAGCTCAAGCCCTCGGCTGTCGGTTTCTGAATGAATTGACGAATTCAGACGAAACATGGTTTGGGAACGTTCATCAGCGTTTCATGCCGTTTCATGGCATATACAGTCAGCAATTAAAGACGTGGTAATCATTCGAAGACGTTGAGGCAACGAATTCTTGGCGACTTCACGACGGCATTCAATAAATAGTGACGGTGTCCCTTGAGGCTGCAGAAAAAAGGTCCTTATACCACCTGCTACGATACCCTCCAAACATTTGCAAGATCCAGCATAGAGCTAACATGCTGCCCGTAAGATTTCACGAATTTCCCGCATCTACTTCGCATGGTTCGGAGTAATTGCTGATTCCAGTCGATGAAGATTTTGCTTCTGAGCTTCTCCGGCCTTGTCAGCGCCTGCGGGCTTTCCCGACGAGACTCCCTCGTTTCCTTTCCGCCTCTAGGGTATGTTGGAGCAAGTCTCGCATAAGTTCAATCACCTGACAGATGACAAGCATCGTTGGAAGAGCCAGAGGAGGAGATCCGTTGCAGAGTCTCCGCATTCTGAATCCCTATCCGGGCATATTTGCTTATTACGATGGGCGTACTGGAGAGCGTTTCGCTTCCGACCAGCCCAATTGGCTCGATGATGGCGCGTTCACGCTGGGAGTATCGACATATTCCATCATCGACGGCAACGAGGCCATCATATACGACTCTCACATTACTCCCGACCATGCAAGTGCTGTGATGCGTCATGTTCAGAGCCAAGGTGTCACCAAGATGTCGGTGGTGATCAGTCACTTTCACAATGATCACATTGCTGGCACTGAAGTTTTCTCCAAAGGGGGAGCCACAATTGTCGGACATGAAATCACGGCCCGGACAGTGAAGAGGAATACGCAGGACCTTGCTTCTGATAGCCCAGCCATTGTTGCTGTGCCCCCTACGGAGCTCTACACTGGGAAGAAGGAGATGAAGGTGGGCAACCTCTCTGTTGAGTTGCACAATTTCCAAATTCACACTCCTGATGGAACTATTCTTTACATCCCTTCGAAGCAGCTGATCTTCGCCGGTGATACTGTGGAGGATACGGCGACCTTCATCGCTGATGCCAAGAGCTTGCCGATGCATCAGATGGAGCTTCAACGAATGGCGACTTTCCCTATCTCGAAGATCCTGCCTGCACATGGAGAGCCAAACAGGATTGCCATAGGTGGCTACAACTCAACTTTCATCAATGCAACACTTCGGTACATTGCTGCGATGACAGAGGATGTGCCGGAGCCAGCAGCTTGGAACCAACCTTTGTCTCAGGTTGTTGATGCAGACGTCAAAGGCGGGGACTTGATATACTTCGCGCAATACGAGGAAGTGCATCAGAGTAACGCAGATACCATTCGGAGAAGCCGCGGGCAAAAATAACTGATGCGACTTAGTAAGGAATAAACTAAAGCATTGTGGTATTTTGAAGTCGGGATTTGCGAGCATGTGGGACTACCCGAGCGAAAACAAAGGGCTCAATTTTGGTTTCAATTTGCTGGAAGATTTTGCATTGAATGGACCCCGGCGTGCTACAAGAAGGATGTTCTAGTCTGGAGTTTCTTTTCTTTTAATTGAGGGAAGAATGATACTTGAAATTAGTGAGATTGGGTGAGATACTGACAGCTGCTCATTAAGACACTTACTTCTATGCGGATGAGACTGTCTCCTACTGTAATTGAGTGTGTGCCAGTGTAGAGATCTAGAGTTTTGGCTCCTCCGCACATCTCATTGTTTGCTTTAAGGCTATGTTCGTGTCTGTTGTACGTCTCTAATTGCCGTGGCGTTTTCAGAAAAGTCGGGGGTCTTACAATTGTAGGTGAGCAACCATAGTCCTCCGTCCATTTCATAAAAGTTGAAACTCAATGGCGTTGAGCGTCGATTCCGCAACAAAACTACATTAAGACTAGACGTGTTCAATCGGCAGCCCTCATATCGGTTCCCCCACTCTTGAAGTCGGAGAAGTTCCAAAGACCTTGCGCCTCCGATGCATCCCCCTCATTCTGTTGTACACTCTTTATCTCCGGATCCTCGACTCCATCGAGGTAGACGCTGAGATAACGCCCACTTATGCAACTACAGGGAAATGTAACCAATTGTGGCATCATCCTACCTGATAGACAATGTCTCACCGAGGTACGTCAGCTATTTCTTACAAGGTCTCTGGCCTGTCTCACCATGGAAATCTCTCAGCACAGCGGCACTATCATTTTTTTATCGCGGAACGGAACTCTAATCCCTGGCGGAACGTGTGACCTGTAATGTTCCGCAAGACGAATGTGTGACGTCGATGGTGAAGGCGAGGGGTAAATTGGCGCTACCACTAACAAATCAAGAAGTATCCCAACG